TTTCACTTTCAACGATAGAACCTTCGGACGACGAGCGCATACCCCGTGAGACTCTCAGCGTTCTCGACCTGGCTCTGGATGGCTTCTGACATCAGGAAATAATCGATCGTCGACTTGGTACGCTTGGTTGAGTAAGGTCCGGTGGCTGGGACGCTCAATGCCATACTGGCTCTGACTAGGTAGTCGGGATAGACTAGAATACTGCTTGGCAGGTTGAAATCCCCACCGGCAAGGACAGGAAGCTGGCATCAACCTTGCATGATGACGACTGCGCTAAATAGATTCACGTAAACCTTATGGGGTGCCGAGCTGACCTCGAAATACAAACTCGTCAACAGGAGGCGGCCCGAATGCGAACCCTCCACATCAACTGCTAACATTATGTGGGCGTAGGGAAACTTGAAATCGAGGCTAATGATTCCCAAGTTCATGCCAGCACGAAGTAAGATTGCGAAAACTGCGTGCCATACTCGAGCTGCACTTGTCTGATGTCTTCCACTACTAGGTGACATTTGCTCAGAGAGATAGATCGAGAGGGTTTCTCGGACTGGCCCAACTTAAATTTGAAAGTATTCCAAGAATTGATACTGATTGTAAGTGTGGCAATGCGTAACATCCAAGACTTGTCATCATCAGATTGCTCACTTGGATTCCCGCAGGCGTCAATTGAACCTGATGGGCTTAGCCTGTTAAAGTAACCACCCAATATTCGCCCCAACCCCCACAACTGGTGGGGATTGGAGTCGGGACCCGTCTTTCCAGGAGCCTTGTCCTTGCCCTAACCCACTGGCCTTTTACCTGGCTCCCTGGCCGTGCTAGCAATAGAACGTGTCTTGGTCATCTGTTTCGGGTGCTGTGCTGCCAATAAAGTAACTCCTGGCGTAAACTGAGCGGCGATATGCGGCATGTAAGTCTGATCGACGGCACTCTCTTCGAGATCTGTTTCCATGGCTCTTCGTTGTCCTGCTCCTGCTGCACGTTCCTCCTATGATTCTCCCACTGCAAGCAATACGTAGCAAGAGCCGCCGCCGCCGCCGCGGCTGGCTGCTGACCAGAGACCCGTTATGGATGGGATCCTGGAGTAGCGAGCTGCGAGGGCTGGTCATTCTGCCTCTGCTGCTGAAGCACGTGCTGGGCCTGCGCGTCCTGGGCTGCCGAGCGGAAGACCTGATCCAGGATCCCCGAAAGCTGGAGAAACGTACTCTGGACAGGTTCCTGGGACTGAGATGGAGCTGGACCCAAACACTGGAACGCATCTTGCTGCATGCGCTGGACGAAAGAAAGGAGGTCGGCACGCTCATCCGACACAACTGTGGCCGCTGCGGCTCTGGAAGTTGTGGCGTACGCCAACTCCTGGTTAAGTGTGGTTGTCCCTTTGGTGAGCCGATACTGAAGTTCGGTGTGTTGCTTGATGGAGACCTCGATAGCCGCCATCTCAGCTGTGTTACTAGCCACCTTCTTGCACTGGACCTGGATCTGGTCGGCTAAAGACTGGGCTTGGACTGGAAACGGGCGACTGGCGAAGACAGCGGCCTTCACTGTCGGCAACGCCTGCTGGGCCTGCGTGAGTCTGGTACATCATCGGCCAAAGTAATGTCTGGCATAGGCGAGGTCGCCCTGCGCAGCGTATACAGGATCAGGGCGGTACTCCTCGCGATCGTGTTTATGGAACTGGAGGCCTGCCAGTTGTGGTTCACTAGCGATAGCTGTGGCTGCCGCTACTGCTGCTGCTGCTGCTGATGATGATGATGCTGATGCTGATGCTGATGATGATGATGATGATGATGATGCTGATGATGATGATGATGATGATGATGATGATGATGATGATGATGCGGCTGCGGTTGCTCCAGGCACACCTCCGATACCACCACGGCCTCCACCCACACCTCCTCCAGCTCTTCCTCCCATGCCGCCGTCGTCGAACCACACCCACTTGCCCCTGCCGCCGTTGCCACCCTTCCCCTTAATGGGGTCACGAGGCAGTAACGATGGCGGGGCTCGAAGAAGACGATGGACACACGATCTGCTTCGGAAGACCCCGCCGCAATAACGGCACCTCCGTTTCCCCGTTGCACGGCCAAACACAACCTGAACACGGGCCGTGGCGCTCTGCCAGTAGGCGCGGAGGGGAGTTGGCATGGCAACAAGAAAGTCGAAAATAAGCGCCTGAACAAATGAAGCGTGTTAGGCAGGGTAACTCCGCGTGGAGCGCTTGTTTGGACGCGTGGTCCTCGAGCCGAGGTTGGTCGGGGAGCCATATCCCGCCGAGGATGGCGGAATGGAGCTTGAGTCAAAATGGCTACGGAGAGGAGAGCAGAGGAGGAGGAAGAGGAGGAGGAGACGGAGGAGGAGGAGGAGGAGCAGGAGGAGGAGGAGGAGGAGGAGGGAGAGGAGGGGGAGGAGGAGGAGGACGAGGAGAAGGAGGAGGAGGAGGAGGCGGAGGGGGGGGGGGGGGGGGAGGAGGGGGAGGTGGGGGACAAAGAGGAGGAGGAGGAGGCGGAAAGGGAGCTGGAGAAGGGGAAGGAGGAGGAGGGGAAGGAGAAGGGAGGGGATGAGGGCGAGGAGGGAGTGGAGGAGGAGGAGGCGGAGAAGGAGGAGGAGGAGGGAGAGCAACGGCTCCTAACTTCAGCGTCTTGGCAAGAAGTTCCCGTTGCGGGCCTCACCCGGCAAACAACCTCCGCCGCGACCCACCGTCCGCGACCCACGAATCCGCGGCCCGCGGCCCGCCGACTGAATGGCGACCGCGAGCAAGGCCTGCGCGATCGACTCCTCCTGCCCCGCTGCCTCCCCCCCCCGCCGCCTCGTCCGCCCGCTGCTCCAACTCGTCCTCCTCCCCTCGTGTTCCATCTCCTCCTACTCCTCCTCCTCCTCCTCCTCATCCTCCTCTTCCTCGTCCTCCTCTTCCTCCTCCTCCTCCTGCATCCTCACCCTTCCAGCTTGTCCTGCCTCTGCACCTCCTCCTCCTCGTCCTCCTCCTCCTCCTTGCTTAGTTCTGCTTCGGCTCGTCGTCCTCCTCCTCACCCTCCGCCTCCTCCGTCTCCTCCTCCTCATCCTGCTACTCCTCCTCCTCCTGACGATCACAATCACCATCATCGTCAGCATTCACCATCACAACAACCGCCACCACAATCACCACCACCACCGTCACCATCACCACCAGCGGCGTCGGCGTCGTCAGTAACGCCCCCGCCAGCATTATAATCATCAGCAGCAGCATCATCATCAGCATCATCATCACCATCATCATCATCATCATCATCATCATCATCAGCATCATCATCATCATCAGCAGCAGCAGCATCAGCATCATCAGCATCATCCTCATCATCATCAGCATCATCGTCATCAGCATCATCGTCATCACCAGCCTGATCATCTGTATCATCAGCATTCTCATCAGAATCACCGCCACCAGTATCATCATCATCAGCATCATCAGCATCATCAGCAGCATCGTCATCATTAGCAGCATCATACTCAGCATTCGCATCATCAGCAGCATCAGCATCAGCACCACCAGCATCATCCTCATCACCAGCCGCGCTCCCATCATTACCAGCATCATTAGCCTCATTAACATCACCCTCAGCTTCAGAATCATCAGCATCATCATCGTCAGCAGCATCATCGCCGTCGTCACCATCAGCATCAGTAACGGCCGCAGTTGCATCATCATGATCAGCATCAGCAGCAGCAGCAGCGCCAGTTTCATCATCGCCAACGTCATCATCACCACCATCAGACGCATAACTAATCATCGCTGTTGGCGTTGACATCAGCATCAGCATCAGCAGCAACAGCATCACAACCACCATCATCATGATCGGCGTCATCATTAGCATCATCAGCATCGGCATCAGTATCATCATCAGCATCCGCATGCTTATTATTAGCAGCAGCATCATCATTATAATCATCAGCATCATCATCATCATCATCATCATCATCATCATCATCATCATCATCAACATCGCCGTCAGCATCAACATCATCAGCACCAGTAGCACCATCATCATCATCAGCGTCATCATCGGTATCATCAGCAGCATCGCAACCAACACCACTGCCATCATCGGCGTCATCATCATCATCATCATCAGCATGAGCATCATCATCATCAGCGACAACATCATCATCAACATCAGCATGATCGTCAGCATCATCAACATCATCACCATCACCATCATCATCATCAGCATCATCAGCATCGAGATCATCAGCATCATCATCAGCATCATCAGCAGCTTCACCATCGTCATCGTCATCGGCATCGTCATCATTGTCGCCATCTTCATCGTCGTCATAAGTATCATCATCATCACCATCGTCATCGTCGTCGTATTATCAGCATCGCCCGTCGTCATCATCATCATCCTCACCACCACCACCATCATCATCATCATCAGCATCGTTATCATAATCGGCATCGTAATCGTCATCGTCATCATCGTCATCCACATCACCATCATCATCAACAACATCAACATCAGCATCAGCATCAGAATCATCAGCATCATCAGCATCGTTATCATCATCATCATACTCATCATCTACCATCATCATCATCATCATCATCATCATCATCATCATCATAATCATCATCACCATCACCATGTTCATGATCACAATCATCGTCATCATTACCACCACCACCATCATCATCATCACCATGATTGTGCATCATCCTCATCGTCAACGTGTTCCTCCTCCTCATCAACCTCATCATCATCCTCATACTGCTGCATACTCATCCTCATCCTCATCCACGTCATCAGCATCATCATCATCATCATCATCAGCATCAACATCATCATCATCATCATCATCATCATCATCATCATCAGCATCATCATCATCATCATCATCATCATCATCATCATCATCATCATCATCATCATCATCATCATCATCATCGCCATCATATCCCCTCGACCTCTTCGTCCTCGTGCTCCTCCTCCTCCTCTTCCTCGTTGTCCTCTTTGCTCTCCTCTCCGGGCCTCGATGTCGTTCTTCGCCAGGTGGGCCCCCTTAAAGAGGATGGTCCTGAGGACCCGCCCACACAACAGCCAGCCCCCTTCTTGGCGGGGAGACTGGGGAAGGAGGAGCAGCCTTCCCTACCACCTCATCGTATCTTGCGAGACGACGCTACTCGACGTAAACCCACGCGAATCGACGCTGAATCAAAATCAATGCTAATCGACGCTAATCGATGCTAATTGGCGCAAATCGACTCTGAATCGGCGCTATATCATCGAATGCAAAACGCTAGTCGACGCTAGTGCACTCCAAAGACGGACTTGTGCGAGGGTACACGAGGCTCCCCAGACTTGCCAATTACCGGAGGAGCTGGGGCCCGCTTCCTCCACACATCCTTGAGCGAGTCTTGAATTACAGTGCGGGCGCGGCAGCAAGAAACCCTCGCAAGAAACCAAATCCTGAGAACCCGTGCGCGAGGTGCACCTAAGGGGAAACCCGGAGCACCCCGAACGCAGCAGCTCCATCAACGGCTGCGGGAAGTCACCGCGCAGCGCGAGGCGCGAAGAAACCCAGGATACCCTGACGAAAAGCATATGGCTTCTTGATGCGCGCCCCCCCTGCATTCGCGTTAACACCAGTGACTGGCCACGTCCCCCCACCACCCCCTGGCCACGCCGCGCCGGCGCCAGCTGGACATGAGAGCCATCCTCGGGCGTCCCCAGGCGGCGCCTGCGCGAATCGTCACGCGACCGACGCCCTCCCACCCCGTCTGCCCCCTGGTCACGCCCGTCACCGCCAGGGATAAGAGCAAGGGTATCCTCCTCCTCCTCCTCCTCCTCCTCCTCCTCCTCCTCCCTCCCCATCCGCCTCGATCGAAAATCGAGGATCGAGGTTCAGGCGTGGTCTCGCCTCCTCTGCGCCTCCAGAGGCTTCTCCTGGGACCCCCGGCGGCCTCCAGAGATCTCCCAGAGGGGGCAGGGGGGGGCGGCGGGGAGGGGGAGGGGGCTGGGGGTCAGGAGGGGCTGAGTGGAGAGGTGGTGAAAGGGGGAGGGGGCTGGGGGCTGAAAGGGAGGCAGAGGGGGGGTGCAAGGATAAAGGGGGACAACGAAGGGAGGGAGGAAGAGGATGAAGAGGGGGGAAGGGGAAGGGAGCGGGACAGGGGAGGAGGCAAGCTAGGCGCGCTGGCGCCACATCTGACACCTACCCCTCCGACCCATCCCTTCCCATTTCGTTACTGTGTTCGTTACCTGCCGACGGGTGTCATGGCCGACTTGGAACCCCAACAAAGGATCCGATTGTGTCATGCGCGATCAAAGGGGAAAGCTGCGAACGTTGGAGGACGAGGCCGCGGATAAGCAGCAGGATGAGCAGGAGAAAGAGGACGAGGAGGAGGAGGAGGAGGAGGAGGAGGGGAGGAACACTAGCAGCAGGAGCAGGAATGGGAGAACCAGGATGACCAGAGAAGGCGGGGGAGGGGGGGGGAGAGAAAAGCGACGCGACAGCGATGAGAAAGCACTCGGATGCGGACATTAATGGCCCCGCGGAGGCGAGAGCGCCCCTCTGAACGATAGAGGCAAAGCGCCGATGCTAAAATGAGGCCGACGCTGCCAGTGGGAGCACCATTCCGAGACACCGAAGCCGTTCCGATCAGCCATGACTCAGATCAACAAGGGCTCCCAACTTCGCGCTTCGCGCTGCGCGAAGCGCGAAGTGCGAATATCTTCGCGCTCTCGCGCCGCCTCCCAGGGGAGCAGAGGATGATGAGGAATCGGAGCCGAACCGCGAAGCGCGAAGCGCGAATAACTTCGCGCCCTCGAGGGCGCCCCTGAGTAGTCATGTCCCACCAGCCCTCTGGGCGTAGGTGTTTGGAGGTGCCAAAAGATGTCTTCTCTCAGAAGCCACAGGTGTCTTCTCTCTGCCAGAATCCCTCCCTCCCCTGCTCGGGGAAAGTGTTCACTCCTCCCCCTAAACCCCCCTTCCGTGGACCCGGGAGGGAGGGCGCGACTCATTGGAGCGCACAAGATGGCCCGAGATTGCCCAAAGAAGGCCTCAGAGAGACCAAAATGGTCTCCAAGATGGCCCAAGACAGCCCGGCATGGTTCAAGATAGCCTCCGACATACTTCTGAGAGGGCGGCCCCAAGGCAGCCCCAAGACGGTTCCAAGCGCCCATCGAGCCTCCCGAGGCACCCTCCAACGGAGCCAAAACCCTTCAAATACCGGAGGAAAACCAATGTTGTTCGCCTTCTCGCGTTTTCGCGTCCGATGGGCTTTTGAGGCCCCAAGACGGCCCAAGAGAGCCCCAAAAGAGCCCCCAAAGGGGCGCTCTTGAGCCCCAAGAAGGCCCCAAGAGCGCCCAAGGGCTCTCGAAGAGCGGCCCAGGAGGGCCCCAAGAGGGCCCCAAGGGTCTGCGAGGAAGGGGGGGGAGCCTGATTTCAGGACCCCCTCCTATGTTTGAGCCATGGGGCCCAAGAGGCCTCACAGACCCCTCCAATGAGCCCCGAGATGGCCCCAGGACCCCCAAAATGACCCCCAAGAGGGCCCCAAGAATCCCCCAAGGGGCCCCACAGGGGGCCCTAAGGGAGCCCCTAAGATGGCATCAGTCGTCCTTCAAGAACCTCTCACAACGACATAGTATCTCTAAAGCTCGACATCTCATCCTCCTTGTCATCGTCCGTTGCTTCCCTCCTCCTTTCCTGCCTCCTCCCTCCTCCTCCTCCTCCTCCTCCTCCTCCTCCTCCTCCTTCTCCTCCTCCTCCTCCTCCTTAGCTTCCTCGTGCCGCATTCCTCCTCCTCCTCCTTCCCCCTCCTCCTCCTCCCCCCTCCTCCTCCTCCTCTCCTCCTCCTCCTCCTCCTCCTCCTCCTCATCATCATCATCCTCCTCTTGCTCCGCCTCCTCCTCCTCCTGCTCCTCCTCCTCCTCCTCCTCATCCTCCTCCGCCTCCTCCTCCTCCTTCTTTATGTTTCCTCATATTCCTCCTTCGCCTCTTCCTCCTCCCGCGTCCAAGATGGTCCCAGGAGGTCGAGCATGGCTCAAGCTAGCCTCCGAGAGACCTCGAAGAGGCCTCAAGACAGCCTCGAGATGGTCCAATCTCACTGAGCATAGATCCTCCGACAGCCTCTAGCCGAACATGGCTCAAGATAGCCTCCAAGAGGCCTCAAGAAAGCCTCCGATCGTGTCGGGATAGGCTGGTGGGGATACGCGAAGCGTCAATACTTGCTGAGAGACTGTGGAGGTGCAAGCTAGTTGCGCTTGCTCCATATCTGGCATCCGACCCCTCCCACCCATCCCTTGCAATTTCACTGATCTGTCTCCATCAGCCCGCGGGTGTCAAAGCGGTCTTGTGGCCCACATTCGTGCGACGCGCGATCAGGAAAAAGGAGCTGCAGTGCGGGAGACCGTGGCGGATGAGCAGGAGGATGAACGGGAGGAAGAAGAGGAGGATGCCCAGGGGAATGGGGGAAGGAGATGAGCGGGGGGAGAATCCGGAGCAGTGACCCCCGCTGGGGCGTCAGCGCCATCCTGCACGACTGGAGCGAAGCGCCGATCCTGAGATGAGGCACCGCTGCAGCAGGAGCAGAATCGTGAGACTCCTGAACATGTGCGAATTGACAGCGGCATACCTGTACGACCACCTTCTCGGGTGATAGGGATGTGCGGGGGTGGAAAACCAACGTCTCAATCAATCGATATCACGATCGATCGCCGATCGATTTTCATATTGAAATCATTATGTATCGCACTCTCAAACTCACAATCGATCTCGCAATCGATCACGATGCCTCTCACTATCGATCTTACTATCGATCTCAGTAACGATATTACTGTCGATCGTACTATCGATCTCACTGTCGATCGCACTATCGATCTCCCTGTTAATCATACTATCGATCTCACGATCGATCCCACCATCGGTCGCCCCATCAATATCACGATAAATCTCTATATATCGATATAACTATCGATCTCACGATCGATCTCACTATCGGTCCCACGATTGAACTCACTATCGATGTCAATTTCGATCTCACAATCGATCTCACTATCGATCCCACTATCGATCTCCCTATCAATCAAATTATCGATCTCACGATCGATCTCACTTCAATCCCACGGGACACCACGGGACACCACGGGACACCAGTGGACACCACGGCACACCACGGGAAACCACGGGACATCATCGGGACACCATCGGGACACCACGGCGGGACACCAACACGTAACACCACGGGACACCGCGGAACACCGCGGGACACCGCGGGACACCACGGGACACCACGGAACACCATCAGAACACCACGGTGGGACACCACAGGACACCATCGACACACCACCATCGGGCAGACTTCTGTCCTAGCCGCACCCTAGCCAGAGGAGGGTTCCTTCCCCTGGCCCGCCCACGCAGCTTCGCCTCGCCCGCACGCACGACACGGACCCGACGCCGAAACCGACTTCCCAGAGGAGGGTTCTCCGTTCAACTTCGATCTCACCCTCTCATCCCCCACAGCACAAGTCAGGAGGGAAAAACCACACAGACACAAATGATCGTCGCTCCCCGGGGAAAGATTGAGAACCATGGAAAAAGTGGGGAACCAGATGAGACACTGCGGAACATGCTGGACAACGTATGGGATCCTGGGACCTGTGCCTGTTCATTTGCGTGGCCATTTGGGCGCCCGAATTGTCCGGGGTAACTCGGGTCCAGGGTAACGCGGGTTTGGATTCCCGAAAAACGAACCCGAGTTACCCCTGACCCGAGTTACCCCTGATGATTTGGGGCTCTGGACGCCCGAGTTATCCGGGGTAACTCGGGCCCGGGGTAACTCGGGTTCGGAATCCCGAAAAGCGAACCCGAGTTAGCCCTGACCCGAGTTACCCCTGATGATTCGGGGCTCTGGACGCCCGAGTTATCCGGGATAACTCGGGTCCGAGGTAACTCGGGTTTGGATCCCCGAAAAAGGAACCCGAGTTAGCCCTGACCCGAGTTACCCCTGATGATTCGGAGCTCTGGGCGCCCGAATTATCCGGGATAACTCGGGTCCGGGCTCCCGAACCACGAACCCGAGTTATCCCTGACCCGAGTTACCCCTGATGATTCGGGGCTCTGAACATAGCTGTGCAACAGCAGGGCGCGGAGAGGGCGGGCCACCTCCAGGACGGACCCCCCCCCCCCGGGGGCACCCGACCGGCAAGCCGCCCGCTCGACCTCGCCCGCCCGCGTGCCACCCGCGATGGGCGCCCATGTCGATCGCGCATGTTTCCGCTTCGCCCTCGTCCTCCTCCTCCTCCTCCTCCTCCTCCTCCTCCTCCTCCTCCTCCTCCTCCTCCTCCTCCTCCTCCTCCGTCCGCTCGACCTCGCCCGCCCTCGTGCCACCGCGCGGGCGCCCATGTCGATCGCGCATGTTTCCGCTTCGCGCTTGTTGTGCGATGTGTGGCTCGACGGTCCAGGATGCTCCTCGGTGGTCCTCGCCAGAGAATGAAAGCGCACACGTCCGAGCGGCCCAGGCCGTGCGGTTCAAAGGGTCGCCCGGCAGACCACGAACACCCCCAGGGGGGCCGACCAGCAATAGGCAAACTCGTGAAAGGGACCGTGGCCTGAGAAAGAGGGGCAGAGCACGCAAAAAGGAATGAGCGTCCCCCCCCACCCCACGCCCCAATGCGCCAACGGCAGGCTACAGGATTCGAGGGGGTGCCAGGAGAGTAGCACTCATAGTGAGCCTGTATGGACGGGGAAGAGCGCGCGTCCGAGGAGAAACGGGGGGGGCAGGGGGGGGGGAGAGAGGCGGGGAGGGCGGAGGACGGCGAACGGAAGGAAGGAGGAGCAAGGAAATCATGGCCAGGTGGCAGAAAGAAAAAGACGAAGGAGGGGAGGATGAGGAGGATGGGCGGGAGACACCCGGGTTGCAGAACTACAGAACGCGAGCTACAGAACGAAACCCCTTTGGGACCCCAAAGGCGCCCGCGTGGACGGGAAGCGCTACAGACACTGTTCGCGTCGGCGGCGGGGCAGGGATCGTCTGCGCCAGCGGAACAAACTTAAAAGAGGCCCGCCGTCAGGCCGTTTCTGCAGCGTCAATGCGAGCGCCACAGGAACAGCCGGGGAAGGACCCAAGGAACAGCGAGCCACTTCCGAACCCAAGCCGTCCCTTACCTCAGCGCCCCGGCCGCTGCAAGGGGCGCTCGGGGAGAGTTCCAGATGAAGATGTAGCAGAAGATCGCAAACATCAGGCTCAGCCTGAGGCACCCCAACTTCGCGTCCTCGGCCGGGCGGCCCGCTGCGTCGCCGCGGCGCGCCGGCGCCAGCGCGCGCGCGCCGGGGCGGGGGGAGGGGGAGGAGAGGGAGGGGGGAGGGGAAGGGAAGAGAGGGAGGGAGGGGAGGGAGGCAAGGGCAGCGAGAAGGGGGGGAGGGGAAGGGGCCCAGAGGGGGAAGAGGAAGGGAAGGGGGGGAGAAGGGAGGGGGGAGGGAAGACAGGACGAAGGAAGAGGAGAGGGGGAAAAGAAGGATGACAAATGGACAAAACAAAAAAAAAAAAAAAAAAAAACGACAAGACGCGCTTGAGCCCCACAGGATTCCTTAGGGAATACCTTTGGTTCCAAATGACATCCATAGCATCCCCTGGGAAATCCATCGGGTTCCTGACGAAATCCGTGGGATCCCCTAGGACATTTGTAGGGACCCTTGGGACATCCATTGGATTCCCTACGAAATCCGTAGGATTCCTTGGGACATCCAGAGGGCCCCCCTAGGAAATTACAGGAGGAGGAGGAGGACGGCAAGGAGGAAGAGGAGGAGGAGGAGGAGGAGGAGGAGGAAAAGTCCTTTCAGCTTCCTCGGCCTCGAGCCTCTTGGCCTCGAGGCCCTGGAAGAGGCTCGTCGCACAGGCGCTGATCTCTTAGGGCGAGGCTCGGAGTTTCTCATGGTCCATCGATGCGTTGCTGCAAAGCTGCCCTGGCTCGAGACTCAAATTCTTGAGCCAATATGGCAACGGATCGTTGTTGGTTTCTTGTTGTTCACTCGCTGTTGGTGGTTATGCTTATTATCTGCTTGTTGTTGCTGTGGCTTGTGCGTCTCGCTGGTGCTGGTACTTTTGTGCTAATCCACGAACCCTTCAGACATTCTCCTTCGGACATACATCGGGATCCTTTTGGAAGTCCATAGACTTCCGTAGGGAATCCTCAGGATTCCTTCGGAAATCCACTGGATCCCTTAGGACATCCAACATACTCTTTGGCAAATCCACAGGGATCCTTCGACATCCGTGAAATTATTTTGGAAATCCATCGGATTCCTCACGAAATCTCACAATCCGTTTAGAGAACCATAGGATTTCTTGTGACACCCATGGGATTCCGTTGGAAATCCATTGGGTTCCGTAGGAACCATAGAATCCCTCAGGACATGTCTAGGATGCTTTAGGACATCCGGAGAAATCGTTTTGGAAATCAATACGATTCCTCCGGGACACCATCAGTTCCCTTATGACATCGATGAAACTCCTTAGAACCTTAGGAGGTCCATGGGATTCCTACGGGAATCCATTGGATTCCTTAGGACATCCATAGAGTCCTGAAGGAATCAAATGCGGTTCCTCAGGAGATCCACAAGATCCCATCAGGAAATCACTCGTCTTCCTTCGGACATCCACCGGCTTCCTGAGGACATCCATGGGATCCCGTAAGGCATCCATAGGATTCCTTAAGACATCGGTAGGATTCCTTAGTATCCATCGGATGCCTTCGGGAATCCATGGGACTTCTTCGGAAAACCGTAGAAGTCCTTAGGACACCTACTGGATTCAATTAAATATTCAAACTATTCCTTTTAAAATCCATAGGAGCCCTTCACACATCCATGCGAGTTCTCAGGACAGTCATACGAAGCGATCAGAAATACATAGGATTCCTTCGGAAAGCCATAGGACGCCTTAGGACATGTATGGGATTTCTTTCTTTGGGAAACGATCGGGTTCCCTAGGACACCTGTAGGAATCTTCAGGACGTCCACAGGATCCCTCAGGAAATCCATAAGAATCCTTCGGGTACCCATCAGATTCCTTACGAAAATGCTGGGATTCATTAGGACAGCCGTGGGATGCCTTGGGGAATGTATAGGAGGAGGAGGAGGAGGAGGAGGAGGAGGAGGAAGAGGAGGAGGAGAGGGAGGAGGCGGAGGAGGAGGAAGAGCCCCAGGACAAATTCCAATAATACCTTTGTTAGCGACCTCAAACTTAAATTTGTAAAACTCAAGTTGTAATCGTTTTCAAAGGCACATGTGTGGGAGTCCATGGCGGCCCGTTTGCGGCGAGAGAAACACCGGGGGGAAAAGTTCGAGGCGCGAGGCGCAAGGAGGAGGAGGAGGAGGAGGGATAGGATGTCTGAGGAAATCCATGCGATCACTTAGAAAACAGAGCCCCTTTCACAGAAAATGCGTAAGACCCCTTGGGAGTTCCATAGCATGCCTCAGGAACTCCAATTTATTCCTTAGGACATACATAAGATGCCTTAAGCAAGCCGTAGGACTCCTACAAACATCCATAGGATGCTTTGCGAAATCTATGGGGATCCGGTGGAAATCCATAGGATTCCTTCGGACATCCGTAAGGCTCCTTCGGTCCATTGGGTTCCTTCGGACATTCCTCGGAAATACATCGGGTTCCTTAGGACATCGATCGGAATCCTTCAGCAATCCATTGGATTCCGTTGGAAGTCCATGGTGCTCCTTGGGAAATAACTTGCACTTTGGGGGGGCAACCATAAGAATCCTTTGGACATCCACAGCACTCCTTAAGAAATCACCGGGGCTCCTTCGAAAAACCATAAGAGGCCTGAGACCATGCACAGAACTTCTCCAGAAATCCATAAGATTCCTGATGAAACCCATAGGATTCCGAAGGAAACTCTTAGGAACCCTTCGGTCATCCTCAGGATTCCTGGGGAAATCCATCGAATTCCTTAGGAAATCGATCGGATTCATTCGGAAAGCCATCGGACTCCTTAGGAAGTCCATAGTATTCCATACAAAAGTCCATATGAACCCGAGAAACGTATAGGAAACCGATGGAAATCTATAGGATCCTTTCGGACATCCGTAGGGTTCCTTCAGCAACTCGCCCGCCCCCCGCCTTTACCTTGTTGCTCTGTCTTTGCGCCCGTGGGCGGTCGCCAAGTGTCATCCAAGCATGTGGTCCTGCTATTGCTCGGCGGCGGGCACGGGGGCGAGAGACGGGGGTACACGGCGCCAGGCTGGCCCCTCCCCCCATGCCCCGTCGACTCTGCCTCGCGGCCGCGGCGGCCTTGGCGGTTACTGCTGCGTTGGCTGGGTCTGGGTTCCGCTTGGCTGAATCGAAAACCTTCGGATGAAGATCTGCCACATGCTGCCTCAGCACTGTGGAGGCCTGGGCGCTGCCTGCTCTGGACGTGGGGACGGGGCCCACGCGGCTGTTTGCTGAGAGCTGTCTGGGCGTCGCCCCTATTGGGGTAGACCAGGTCCGTCCACTTGGACAAAATGGCGTCGCAGTCCGAGCGGGCGGCGTCCCAAATCTTGACGGTGCGCTGCCTGCAGAACCAGACGGCGTTCCTCTGACGTGTCCAGATCGTTTCTGCCCGGTGACGAAAAGGCACCATGGCGTGCACCAGGGTGATGTGGCACGTCGCTGCGAGCTTGCCGGGGCCACAGACACATTTGCCGGGGGAGCGCTGGCCGGGCTCCTGGCTGTGCCGGCGGGCGGCGGCGGGGTACCCGCTGCCTTGGCACAGAGCGGCACCCTTGCTTCCAAAGTTGGTCCCGAGTCGCCCGCCCTGCGAGACGGCTGGGGGCAGCGTGGTGCCGACTGCGGCCGGGGCTCGCTGGGTCCGTCCTTGGGAAGCACCGCTCGTTACAGAGGAGAGCCGCTCCTGGTGTTCTGTAGCTTCCCTTCCGGGATGACTCTGGGCACTCGGGCACTCGGATCGTCCACGGTGTCCTTCAGCCAGGTGGCAATGTCCTTTCCGTCGGGGATGGGCGTCGTGGAGGAGGTCGCGTCGAAGCGACAGCACTTGCTGCAGAGCCATGTGGTGTCTACGCCGACCAAGGGCTCGGTTTGTCGGCTCTGCACCACCGTTCTCCTGACCCCGGCGCTGGAGTAGCCTGATTCCTTGTGCGCGAACAGGCCCCTGAGGCATCCGCTGCAGTAAATCTCCGAGGGGTTTTGTTCAGGCCTGAGCTGGGTGTCCCTGCCGTCAACACACGCTGGGGTCAGAGCACTATAAGAAGAACAGGCTCCAAGTAAGAGGGAGAAGAGGAGGGAAGGGAAAGGGAAGATGGGAAAGGCACACATCAGGGCATTATACTTATCCTGGCTCATCCATTGCACTCTGATCAGCAGGATAGTTGGGTCTGCTGTGAGGTGTAGAGCGCTCACACGACATAGTTAGTTCCACCCACACCCCTCACCGAATGTGGCGTTGAAAGAGATCGAGATGCGCAGATGTGATTTGCAATTGCCACCAGCTGCCACCAGGCTGGGATGAGGGTGAACAACTACGACAGCGCGCGAGCCACACGCATCCCTTCCGCGGGAGCATTGCGCCTTGCGCACACTGCGCGAGTGCAGTCCCACGGACGAGTTGGCATACGCATGTGCGTTGGTGGGTGCACAAGCGTGCACGTTAAGAAGCTTGGAGTGGGATGGGTTCACATGTACAGCAGGCTCGTCATGGTGGATGTTTGTATCGACACCCTCCTGGGAAGTCAGAAACCAGGGCGGGAGGGACGGCGTGAGGAGGGGTGAGCAGCAGCAGCAGCACAATCGGCAGAAGCAGCAGGGAGGACGACGAGGAGGGCAAGAATCGAAGGAAGAGAAGGGCGAGGGCATGGGAATGGATATTTTGGTACATCGACCCCCCCCCCTGGAACTGATTTTTCATCCTGGATAGCTTTTACGACGGCCCTGGGGGCGCGAAAACGGCCTCCCAGTGCTGGGGGCATGCCGACAAAGGTCAGACTCGACACTTACAATGCTCGCCGCTCGTGACCAAAACTGGGATAGGTCACCAAACTTAGCGTATCGCGTCCCGCAATGCGCAGTGATGTTCGCGCACTCGCGCGCCGCCCCCTTGCAGTGACCCAGAATCAGGTCGGACGAAAGGGGGGTGGTCAAAGGGGGGGTGGGTGGATCAGCTCACGTAGCTGATTTCCCCCGCACCTCGCGAAACCAAAGGCGCCAATGTATCGACGGAGAGGGCGTGGCGGCGGAGACGAAACAACCTGCGTGCAGCAAATTTCGTAAGCCCCCCCACCCTCGTCCGCCCCGACCCTCCGCAAAAATGCGATGTCCTGTTCCATTCAGCACGGGGCTCCCAGAAATCCCAACCCATTCCCCGGGACCGGCTTTTCATCCCGACTCGTTGTTGTAAGGGCCCCGGGGCCCGGTAAAGGTCTCCCAGGAGCGAAAATGAAGAGAAACCTCCGTTGATCAGGACGTTGCCTGTCTGGGTCTGAGCATCGTTTAACCGATCCCTATCCCCACCAGCGTGGCCTGGGCCCCACTGGCCGACTTCCCCCTAGATGGGGATATGGCCTGTTCCCGTCGAGTTTCGACTGGTTTATCCCAAGCTGGGATGGTGGACGCTGGGGATCAGAATGGGGATGGGGGTGGGGATAAGGGTCGGGTGAACGATAGACGCACAATAAGGATGCAAGGGCGGGCCGCGGCCAGCGAAAGCGGCCAAGGATGGGCCGAAGGGGAGAGATGCAAGGGTAATTATTAACCTTGGAGAGCTGCTCATCATTACTGTGCGGGTTCACTGAAAGGAGTCGGGGTGGCCCAGGAGGGCCAAGTCCTTCACGACCACAATCTTCGGGGTCTGGTACTGCAGGATCTCGTCCGGATCCTCGGCGCAGGCCAGCCTTCCCTCAACCAACCGCCCCCGCGAAGGCGCGCGCCGCGACCGGGTCGGCCGGCCGCGGCTGGCCAACTCGTGGCCGGCCCTGCTGTCCTTGGGACCTTAAGACGGAGCCAAGACATGACGAGGACGAAGTCGGGTGTGGAGAACTTTGGGCGTCGCTTGCCTGGGGACGATGACTGAAGGGAAAGAAAGGGTGCACTTCCCGAGCCCTATAAGACCCCTTTGGGGCCCCAAGGGTCCCTTGAGGGGAAAGGCCCCACTTCTGCAGCTCTCGCTGGCACCCATTGAACCGCGATAAATGTGTAGAACCCCCCATTTGGGGGTAACTGATTGCTCGGCGGCCTTACGGGAAGACTGGAGTCCCACCAATAGGGAGTAACAAATTATTTGTCCGCGGCACCCGCGGCGCAACAACGACGAGGACAACTACGACTACGACTACGACTAGGACTACGCGGAGGAGGAGGAAGAGGAGGACAAGGAGAAGGAGTCACCGCCGGCCCAGACAACCTCCAGGCAGCCCAAGAAGCACCCAGGATGGGCCACGAGGGCCCCAAGAGGACCTCCACGAGGGCCGCAAGGAAGCAAGCATTACCACATCAAATACATTAAGAACATCTGGATATCTATGTATACAGAGGACCCCACGAGGCCCTCCACGATGGCCGTAACGAAGCAGACATTACCAAACTAGATACATTAAAAACATTGAAATACCTGTATATGCAGGATCCCGGGTCGAAGAGTCACCGCCCCTACCAGATGGGATGTGTCCCAGGGTTCCACAGCCCACCCCCACCCGACGGGTTTGGGGGGAAGGGGACGACGACGACGACGACGGCGACGACGAACTTCCCCACAGCCACAGGGGGATGGGTGGCACCACCCACCACCACGCCGCGCCCACAGGGCCACGACCACAAGGGGGGGCGGGGGGGCGGAGCTCATTACTGGGGCCCTGCGACTCTTCGTTTGGGAAAGCTCTGGGCGAGAGCACCGGAGCGTCCACCCTCCCGTTCGCCACGCCCACATGCGCAAGGCCTTCGCGAGGCTCACGGGCGCACCCATCCAGCGGAGGATAATTCTGGATCATGTTTGCTCACCCCCCCGCGTGATCTACCTTATCGCTGCTTCTGTGCCCAGTTCACTATGCACCCTCCTGCCATTATTATGTCATTCCTGTTGTTTGCGCGCAGAGTTCCACGTCAGTCAGTAGCGCCTATAAGCACCTATGATGATAATCCCACCAGCCTTCTGGGCGTGAGTGGTCTAACGAGCTCGTGATGTTAACACCCTGCTTCCCCTGCGGGCAAGGGGTTCCCCCTCCACCTTCCTGTCTGTCCTACCCCATGTAGGCCCCAGTCGGCCAGAAGAGGGCCCCAGAGCGCCCAAAGTGGCATCCATGATCAACCAAGATACCCTGAGATGGTTCAAACGATGGCCTCCAGCATGCCTCCGAAAGCCCTCCACTTGAAAGGATTAAACACATGCCCAAACTTTGGGAGCATGGCGAAATAACTGTCATGCACACATTCGCCACCGCGTCCCTGTCGCAACGCATCACTCAAAGCTTAAGCAAAGAATTGTAGAATCTCCGCGCCGCCCTCCACAATCATCCCTAAAGCAACTCCAGATTGGCCCCGGCACGTGCCTTGGGCAAGCAGCTTGACGGCACGGCTCAGATCTCCAAGCGTGGTCGAGGGGATTATGATTATGTCGGCGTCCTCGAACGTTGGACAACATGCGTCGCCCACGAAAATGTGGCCCATGAACTCTGCCATGCTGTCCAGCGGCATGCTGGAGTTGGCTCGCGCACGCACAGACGACAACGAAGAGATGTTGCGGAAGTCGGCGAGAATCTGAATTTTGATTATAAACACAATTTGTCGCGCACTGTCTTATGAAGTTCCTATGACACCTGTTTCCGTCCCTCACTGTCTGTGCATATTTCCGCTCGTGCCGAAACTCCTTTAGTCTACTGCCATCAGCGAAATCAACGGTGAACGGGGCGTCATTGTCGCCGCCTGCCTCTGCGACCGACGCCAATACGTGTTCAATACTCATTAGACTTGTAGGCCGGCCCGCCGATAGAGCCTACTCCAGAATACACGAAAATGTGTCTGGCTCAACGCATTTCAGGGCAGACTTCCGCCTCGATCGCGCCATGCGGTCCATGGAGCCGCCCTTCTGGACAGGCACTGCCTCGACTGCTCCGCGGTCTGAGCCCACGTCAAGGCTGTCCACGGCAGACGCGTGGAGTACGTGAATACCACGCCCGTGCAAAACAAAATCGATCTGCCACTTCACACCCAAACTGCTTGTGAAGATGCAAGCCTCGCCTAGAAACCAAGCTCCGCCGTCGCTGGCGGCTTGCAAATTGAACCAGCTGGTAAATATCCAGAACTTCTCTGCGAGAGTGCCTGAATTGAGCTGCGCGTTGAAAGATCCACCGGTTGTGTAACAAAAATGAAAAGGGCGAAGCCCACCTCGCGGCTGTGGCCAGGCATTCGTCCGCGTCGTTCAAGGCGTCCACAAGGAATCCCGCCTGTGGCACGTAGCCAGAAGGCAAGTTGAATGTCGCCCCGCCCCTGACAAGACGCACAACAAACACTAGGTGCCCATAGCTCCTTTTCACGACAGCGTGGTCTGTCGACCTTGCATGGCTTAAAACAGGTACTCCACTGTGACCCTCGCCGCGGTGGCTTACCAGCTTGCGGTTGCCACGGACCTCGCATTTTGCCGCAGCGGCCTTTGTTTCGCTGAAGCAAAAAATCCCACGCTACGCCGCGCAACTCGAATAGCATTCCCGCTTACATCTGAGCTGTGTGCACACGTTCATTCTCACAATAAGCCGCGACGTGCAAAGGCGGGTGAAACAATGTGTTCGCCAGGCGGTGTCCCTAGTAAAGGCCCTATTTCCCCTTGCCCTCGCCTTGTTCCGGCTCCCGTCCCAGCTGTGCTCCGCTGGAGCAAGCCAGCGCGTTTGGCGAGAAGTTCCTGCCATTCTTCGTCCTCCGTCAGATACTCCTCCCAGGCCCCCCGCACTTCATCAGCAGCGCCCCGCTGTCCACCGTCGCCTCCACCACCATATCCCCCCAGCGTCGAGACGTTCGCGCCCACGTCGACCGAAAAGGCCTTCTTGTCGAGGCCCCAATGGGAGAACAAATCCTTCGCCCCAAACAGCATGCCCTGCGGGGCGCGCGCGTGGACAGGCAAGTCTGGCTTCGCCACAACTGTTTGGTCTCCACACACGACGCGCGTCTCCCAGGTCTTCGACAATGCCAGGCCCCGAGCTGACGAGGAAGCGAAGACGCCGAACAGCACGTTGGAGAACTCGCCCCTGCAATACACCTCACACGCGCCCGGGGCGCTGCACCACCACGGCCGGTCGGCCCGCCACTTCCTAGCCTGAAGTCGGGCGTGTCCCGAAGCAGGGGAATTTTCGACGAAGCATAAAAATTAAACCAAAAACATACTCCAGAATGGTCAAAAATACTCAAAAAATAGACCCCTGACTATTTTATACTATTTTTGAATATTCCCCCGTAGAGGGACAGGCCCGACTTAACCCTAGCGTCAGACTTCCCTTCGAGGATCCCGAAGGCCGCTGTCGCCTGGTTGGCGGTGCTGGCGGTCGTCACGGTGAGCGCATTCATCTTGAGCTCAAACTGGCGAAACCGTTATTTAAGCTCAGCGTCGCTTCCGAAACTGAGCGCCACAGACGGCGCACGACGCACGAGAGCCCACTTCACTGAACTTCGTCTCCAAGTCTTTCAAGTAGACCTTCAGGTCGGACAGTTCCTTCTCGAACCCTGCGGACTTGCGATCGCTGTTATCGTTCATCGTATTGGTGGTGATGTCGATGAGGTCGATGTCTGCCTGAACGGAGAGCATGTTGTTGATGGCCAGGGTGAACGTCCAGTCGAACGCAATTGAGATAGCCTCTCAAGTAAGGGGTTCCGCCTGTGGAGCAGCACTGTCAAAGTTACGATGGCGGCCGGTGCCCCCGAGACTCCCGGGTTCAATGGATACACCACCCACCCCGTTCAATGGACTGGCAAGGCGAGGACGTTCCTCTTCATGCCCCACTGGCGTTAAAATGGGGCGGACCTCAGCTGAGGTGCTGGAGCCCCTATCGCATCCAAGCGGCGCCCCGGGAATCCCAGGCCGTTCTGGCAAAACCAAATCGGGAAGCAGCTTTGCACGCTCACCCTCAAGGTCAATGTTCGATATTTGCACGAACTGGCAAAGTGAACAATGAGAACGGATAGGTGGGTACGGTACCTTGAGCCAGGATCCCTTGAGCCAAAATCCAATCGCGCAGGACGCTTGCTACGGCATCTGCGAGGTGGGGATTCATCCATATCCACCGCCTGGGAACGGACGTCCTGATGCCGCAGCGGGTGGTGGATATGGATATATAGTTTGGCCCTGGAGGCTCAAATATACTCATATCCACCGCCTGTCGAGGTCTCCGAAATCGAACCTCTAGGCGGTGGGTATGTAGTAATTCCCGCCTCGGAGCATCGCGCCCAGCGAGCTGACTACCTACCAACCCACCCCAACCCAACCCGAGGCCACTGTCGGGTTCGTCGATTCCCAGCGGGGGGGCAGTCTGGGACATCGAGGAAACACAATGGAACCCGTAGGCCCCCCACCCCGAAAATTGGGTGGGTTCGGGGATGGACAGAGTCCCTTTTAGTAAAACGTGGTTTAGTGAAAACGACCTCGGGCCCAAGCCTGGCGGGCGCAAGCGTGGAACACGACGGCCGCGGCGACATCTCGAGAACCGAAAACGGACAATTCACGAATCGACGTGTCAGGGTAAGGGTTCTGTCCGCCCCCGATGGGTCTGGGACCTTCGGTCATGTTGCCCCCATCGTACTTAAAGACCACATCCCAGAAATAATTTCGAGCACCCGGAAAAGTATCGAAAAAGTGTCGAAATTGTGTCGAAACAGTGTCGGA